TCTCTCTCTCTGTGTGTGTCTCTTTCTCTTTCACACAGACACACAGACACACACACCTACAAAGACCGCGGAGATACTGACTCTCTCCCCAGAGTCCTGACATTGTCCTCTAAATTACCCCAATAATGAGATTACAGTGTTTCCCTCTTGTGAAAGGTGGAGGAGGTGGCGGGGGTTGTGGGTGAGGGGTGTGGGAGGGGGGGTGTTGGATTCTGGGAGGAGGTGATAGCAGCGGGAGCAGAGCAGCAGAGAGGGGAGAGACAGTTCAAGATAAGGATCGCTGCCACAGAAATGCACTCTGGGCCGCTGTGAGTAATTGTTCTGTCCTCGGTAACATTAGCTGTCATGATAATGGAATATTCACAGAGATTGATACCCGGACTGGCCGGTCTGAAAGCAAGGATCATTTAAACAGCAGCACTGATCTTACAGTCCCTACCTGAGCCCGACACCTCTGCAGGCCAACAGTTACAGTTTCCCTCCGATTCACACACAGCTCAGAAAAGAATGGAAAAGAATATGGTGATTTACAGATTTTACAAGTTTGAGAAAACCCCCAAAATGGATGGAAATTGATTGTTGCACAGTTTGGATATGTATCTAGATGTATACATCATCCATTTTTATAAAGTTTGTAATTATTGTGACTGATGTTGTTGTCAGTTAACTAATTAGTGTAGCTGCAATGCCTTGAAGGACCAGTGTGTTGGATTTAGTGGCATCTAGCAGTGTAGTTGCTAAAGTGTTTTTATTTTGTCGTCCTGGGCTACATCATGTCATGTATTTGAGTTGTTTTTCTAAGTCCTCTGTCTCTACGTTACCTACAGGTCCAACCAGCTGGAGGACAAGATCACTCTGATCAAAGGCCGCATAGAAGACATTAACCTCCCTGTGGAGAAGGTGGACATCATTATCTCAGAATGGATGGTCAGTACATGTTTACGTACATATACATACTGTGGCATCTTAATTTTGAGGCTAGTAATAAGCAATGCAGTAACAGATCTATATTTGATCAGCACTGCCTGGTTTGACAGTTTGATCTGAGGTTGGTGCGTTGAGCTGGACGGACTTACTGAGCAAAAAGCATACCCTGCTTTATCATATATTTTACTCTAAATTGGACCATCATTTACTAAATAAACATCATGCTGTATGGTTTCAAGACTTGAAACTAGAAACTGAGAACATAAACTCATTAGGAAACTGTTTACTGAGCTAATAAATCAAGTGCAAATTAGGGTCATTTTCAGTGGAACTGAATCCAAGCGCACGTCGTTTTGCTACCAATAGAGCTGCCCCCTGCTGGTCATAAGAAAGAATTCAGGTTTAAGTTACTTTCCCGTTGGCCCCACTTCTCAGACCTTGAAGCTTTGTTCACTAATTATTTACTGTCAATGGTCAGAGGATGTCATCCACTGTTAATCTTCTGCTGTTTCGATCTAAGAGGCAATATATTGAAACTTCTGTACGTACACGAGGGTTCATCACAGCTCCATGTATTGGTTCGGCTTCCGAGACCTTGTATGGTCGCTTGATTATTCACATTTCTGCCATGACTGGTGTGGACAGCTCGGGTCAGACTGAAATCACCTCTCTGTCGTTAATCACTAAATGGCTTTTTATGACAATGTTAGATTATTAAGTGGGCAGAACTAAAACAGCACAGATGAATGAATGGATGTAACTGGTTAGTGAGAGGAGGTTTGAGTATGAAAGGTGTGTGTATTAAGATGTACACAGTGGAAGGATGGTAATATCGACAAATGGCTAAAGCCTGGACAACATCACAAAACATACCCAGTATCCAATGCGATGTATACATCAAATAGGATAACGTTAACGATGGCTCCATTTTCAGTTGTTTATGTGAGCCATAGCAGCCAAACCAGTGAACACAATTAGAGCCTGAATGATGAACATCTAAATGTAATGCAACCATCATTAATCATTAAAAGTCAAAGTGTGAGAAAGATAGATTATGAAACTACAAAAATATTAACCACTCTTATAAGATAGGAGCTAATTACTGCAAAACAAAACATAAAGTAATTGTTTAACAGGGACTGAAAACAATGTCCCTGATGCAGTAAGCCAAGTATAACTTTTATTAATACTGTGGTAAGTCTGAGAGTCTGTGACCACTTTATTTCATTCTCACATTCTGTTGCAGTAGGTCTCTACTGATGAAGCTTAATGAAAATTCCCTGCTCTGCTTCACCAATCTATTGACTTCATGTGTATGTGTATGTGTGAGTTTACTACACTGAGCAAACCAAAAACCAGAGGGAGTTAGCACTGTACCAGGTCCTTCATACTTTTTGGAAATTGTTTACAAGTTTGTTGATGGAGGCTAGACTAGGCCTGTTTTGAAGCCTTTTCTTCTTGCCATTAGAATGGTATTTGTGCCTTAATTAAACTACTGGTTTTGCCTGGATCATATTGAATATATTCACAGATGCATACATTGTTTTCCCTATTCTGAGGCCACTATGTTTATGTGCTGGGAAAATATTTTGAAAGCTCATCTCCCACCCAAGAGTAGACCAAAACTCAAACACATACATGCAAATACCCATAATGCAGAATCTCAGATTGGTCCTTTACCAGCCAATGAGTGGGCAGAATCCAAGGTGCCAGTAGCAGTGATGCATCTTTTAAACATGGCTTAAACGGGGCTAAACTCGACCATGAGCTCCTCTGAATACCTAACCAGGAAGAGCAGTCTTCCTTTCCCTTGATGCCCATTTATCAGGGAGATTCTCTGTGGCGATACAGGCGGCACGGCCAAAGTTGAACGCACCGCTGAAGTCATCCCTAATTCATGAGCATCCCGTATCTGTCCCCCCTCCACCTCCCCCATCCATCGTGAAACCCCAGGGTCACAAGCAGGGGTCGCCAGCCAGAGCCTTCCCATCCTCTCACCAGGAAATTGAAATTCGGTGGTTGACGTGCTGGTGGAACGGTGAAGGATAGGGGGCGTAATCTCTGATGACACCAGCTCAGAGAGCGCTAATAAATCTAAGAATTCTCCAGTCACTTGTCATCATAGCAGCGATGGCAGACATTTCTCAGAGTGGCCAGAACTTCAAAAGCTGCCCTCAAATCTGCCTGTATAAAATGGACAAATGACTCCATGTCCAATGCTCAGTGTAAATGGCTTTAGACTGTATTAAACTTTAATGGCTTTGTCTTATAGCCAGGTAGTGTCTTATTACCTGAGAGAGGTTCAGGGGATGTCATCGGTCTTGTATGACATTTTTTATTTTTATTTTTTCCCCATAGTATGTCCTATAAATCACTGGTGCTGTGTTTTAGGTGTTTTTTAAATTTACATATTTGACCTTCTTGGTGAATTTCCCACATCATTGAATGTATAAAATATAATCCTTTTAAATAATAAATATATATAAAATGTAAATGTTCTCAAAATACAGGTAGTGTAAGAAAGACTGATCCCTTGTTACCCACTGACTCTCTCAAAACCTTTTATTAAAAATCCATAATCTAATTTCAAATGTGCTTTACAAAAATATAATTTCACCTCTCTTATTGGTGCTTAGAGAAATAATTGTTTCCCTTTTGTCCAAAGTGACCAAATCCCTTTTAATTTTCAAATGTAATCATTCTACCCATGAAACTATTCATGAATTTGCTTAAAACAAGTGTAAAGCATAATTTCACATTCCAAATAGTAAAAGCTATTCGATGTCTGCAATTTGTCTGTTAGAAGATTATGTAACTTTTCTGCATAGTAGTCTTAATTGTCAGTGACAGAGTCCGCCATTCCCGTACTGTGTTTACAGGGAAACAGTTTTATCTCATTGATATCAGCTCGCTGTTATAGCTGGTAAAGCTGTATTAAGTTACTGCTAATGCAATAAACATTTCCGCCTGCTGCAAGTTTTATTTACATTCAAATTTATTTTACATTAAAAGCACTTAACTGGCTTTTATTGTGAAGCAGTTACAGGAAACACAATCTATTTTTCTAGCACTAACAGCGGCTGTTAATCTAAAATGCATCAACAGATCAAGACAACGGTAATTTTTTCTTTGACAGTGGATCAGTTTCAAATACTAAAGGGAAGACTGGAACAAGAATGAGCTGCCAATGTGAACTGTTAGATTAAGAGCTGCAACACTTCCAACTTCTTAGCAAGATAACCCACTCTGGTTACTGTGCCCTGTTGTATGGAAAATGACTTGCACAGTCAAATCAGACTACTAACTTTTAAACAACGCAAATTTGTTTGGCTGTTCTGTGAAGAGATACCCCAGTTGGTCTTCTGTTGTATTTCTCACAAAATAACTGCTCTGAGAGAGTTAAGGCCTTATGCTTGTATGCTTGCCGCTTGAGACCTGTCGCGCGACACCTGTGACGGTCAAAATTGACGTAGACCCTCGCTCGTGCAGAGTCGCCGCACCACTCTTTTTTTTTCAGCTTTGGAGCGCTGCCAAACCGGAAAACAGGAAGCTTTCCGAGCCAAGTGCGCCTCTACCAAGGGGCATCTGGTACGATCATTCAATGGAAGGGAACAATGAGAATTCCAACATTCATTGGGAGAGAAAAGAGGAGGTCATTATGCCGGGAAAAATTAGAAGAACCTCCGCGACCGATTTTGGCAAAATCAAAGAAAGAGTCCGCCGATTGTTTACCTTTTTCTTTCATCGTTCTAGTGCCGTAGAAATAGCAAAGTCGGGTAAGCTCTTTGCCTCAGCTTGCGCACACTCTGGTTCAGGAGAATACTTGCAACTAGCTGTCGCGACCACCAGCGCAGGCGTATAAAAAGTTAGAGCGCTCCCGTGGCGTCACGTTGTCGCGCGACAGGTCGGCAGTGGCGAGTCTACAAGACGCTTTACTTTCCCCCGATTTCTGTGACCTCTAGTAATCAACCAGAACTGAAATCTTGAAGACTATAACTTGATGATGATTGTTTTTGTTCCACTCCTTTGTTCCCTCAAACCCTAAACCTCAAACATCTTATTTTTAACTGTAAATATGGCAAATAATGGAAGCCAAACAACTTCAAAATGCTGTACCTGTGTGACTTTGATCAGGGTTTAATACCTTGGCCTGACCTGGCTTTAATACATGCCTCGGGTGTCACCTAACCCTGCTCAGAATGCACACACACACACAGATTGGAGGCTTGCTAAGGCCTCCAACAGAGAATGCCCAAACTGGGTCAAAGCAATGGCAGGGATGCACAGGAGGGAATTCTGTAACTAAGAATAGATTGGCATCCAGCATTTGTTCTGTGCAGTGAAGCTGACATGCTTTGTCTTCTTTCCTCTGGTATGTAGGAATATAAGATTGATGGAATAAAAAAGCAAAGGAATGAAGGGGAAATATCAATTTAAAGACCAGAACTAAAACCTGAGTACCTTTCTTAAAGCTACACTGCAGTTGGTCAAGGTAGAAAGAATGGTATGTCAGTGACTCTGTTGTCATTGAACAGTGTAATTAATCTCAAATTTGTAGAATTAATAGGCCCTCCAGTCCATGCTCTGTGGATCAGAAGAAAGAGTTTTGAGCTTACTGTGGCAAAGAAAAGCATCACTCATTAAAAAAAGCAAAACAAGAACTGCATCCATCTGTCATCACGTGTGTTGTGATTAAAAATGTTGTTCTCTGGCCTGGAAAATAGTCCTTATCGAGTAGAAGGCATTCAATAAAAAATGTTTGAAATGATGTTATTTCCAAAGAGACTGTAAACAAATGCACTACATACTTGTAAAACAAATAAAACAAAAAAAAAAATGTACAGGGTAATATGGTCCAATTCTGTAATGAAAAATGTAATGACTTCAATGGTCCACTTAAGCAGTTAAACTTTATGTATGTTTTCAGATATCACTGACACAAGTTTAAAAAATGTTGCTTGTTTTTGGTTTTACTGAGGGGAAAATGAGAAGTATGATTA